TTCAGCGTCGATCGCCCTCATAGCATCTGTCCATACAAAAAAAATTAATTGATGGACATTTCGTATTTTCAGTGTGTTCGGCAAAAGCCTGTGGCTATTGCCTGTGTGTGTGTGTGTGTGTGTGTGTGTGTGTGTGGTGTGTGTGTGTGTGTGTGTGTGGGTGTGTGTGTGGTGTGTGGTGGTTGTGTGGGGTGTGTTTGTGTGTGTATGTCTGTGTGTGTGTTGTGTATGTTGTATGTGGTGTATGTGTGTGTGCGTGCGCGCGCGTGGTGTGTGTGTGTGTGTGTGTTTTGTGTGTGGTGGGGTTGTGTGTTTGTGTGTGGATGTGCTTGGCTGTTGATGTGTGGTGTGTGGTATGTGTTTGTGTGTGTATGTGTTGTGTATGTGTAGTGTGTGTGTATGTGTGTGTGTGTTGTATGTGTGTGTTGTTTGTGGTCTGTGTGTATTGTATGTGGTGTAGGTTGTGGTGTGGTGTGGTGTGGTGTGCTCGTGTGCGTGTGTGTGTGTGTGTGCTCGTGTGTGTGTGTGTGTGTGTGTGGTGTGTGTGTGTGTGTGTGGTGTGTGTGTGTGTGTGTGTGTGTGTGTGTGTGTGTGTGTGTGTGTGTGTGTGTGTGTGTGTGTGTGTGTGTGTGTGTGTGTCATGCCTGGGCACGGACGGACGTGAGCATGCGACTTTCGACGCCATAGCTCTGCGAGATGCGCCTGCCTCGCATGGGTGACAACACCACCCTACGGTAACACCGCGTTCCTCGTTACGCTCACTCCGAGACACGACGCAGGCCACCTTTCCCTGCTGGTCCTGTCTCTATGTTTAATAGGCAGTTTAATAGAGACTTCATCGAAGACAGTGCTGCTTGCGGTCATTGCGGCAGCGATGAAACTATAGAGCACGTTCTCTGTCACTGCCCTCGTTACAGCGTGCAGAGACGGCAGCTAGCTGCTGCGTTAGCTCGCCTTGACGACAGACCTTTGTCAGAACAGTCAGTGCTTGAAGGCGACATAAGCTGTCTTCGCACAGATCATCAGTGAAGGCCTTATTGAACTTTTTGCGTGATAATGGCCGATTGAATAGGCTATAGCACCCCAGCTCACTTTTTTTTTCTTTTCTCTTTCGCGTGTCTATTTCGCTCTTCGCTCTTTCTCATCTTTATTCCCCATTCTCCATTCTGTTAGGGCAGGGTATCAAAACGGATGCTCCAATTTTCGAATAACCTCCCTATATTTCCCTCATTTTATTTTCTCTCTCTTAATAGAGAGTTTTAGTTGAGCGTATACACCAGCCCTGCGGACGCAGGCTGCTATTGGAAATGGCTGGCAGCTTTTAGCTACTTTAATCATGTATCACGTGCGTTAATCGGCGAAATGAAGGTGTACAACCAAGCGTCAACGTGGGTGCCTTCTCGTTAAGCGGTGATAAAGCTGCCAAACACCAACGAACACTGTGCAAACTCTCTTATATCAATGTACAGGAACATTCAACTACTTGTGTACGGACACGTTCACCGAGGAATCAACTTTTTTTTTTTTCCATCGGGGACACCTTGTGAGCTGTAATAAGCCTTCACACGTGGTTTTTGGCTTGGGTGGTCCACATATCTTCATTCTTCTATAAACTTTTATCGCTTTTTGAACTTCATCGTTGAGAACTCCAGCGTGTGGCTCTCGGTACTTACGTCATCTTTACCGGCTACCACCAACGTGCGAAAACGTATTTAGATCCTTTATTCGCTCTACCCTTAAACATGAGTAAGTCGATCCACACGAATTTCTTGCCTTTGAAATAAAGGACGAGAACGATCGTCTGTCGTGGAGACAATAATGATTTTATTCTGCGCGTAACACAATCTGAGTGCTGACTATACCAAGACGAAGATGTCATAAACGTTACAGCCCGTGGCACAGTGCTGTAAGTACAACGCGGCATATGTAAATTGTATATACGAGTCGTAACGTGTCTTATATATACACGAATCTTATAGAAGATCACTTTCCCGTCCGAAAATGCCGGTAAAATAAATATAACCGCTATAGTGTTGTTTCTTCTTTTTCTCAGTACACATTGTCCATCGAAAGAGAAAACACCCCATTACGTACATTACAAACCCCAAAAAGTAGCTATGGAGATGAGTGTTATAAAATGCTTTATATTACTTCACGTTTTGCCGAGAACCCGGCCTTCGTCGAAATGACGTATGCGCGCACATGTTCTCGCGGACACAACCAGATCAAGTTGCGATCCTTGTGCACTTGAATTATATTACTACACTGACAAAAAGAAACGTCGAACGGTAATCAGCGTCGGCAAAACGCATTTGGCATCACCTAAGAAAACAAGCAGTAATTTATTGACTTGCTAATTGAATGATTGATTGATTCATTCATTCATTCTTGAACAGAGGCCATTGCCATGCCATCCACTCTCTCGCATCATGAATTGACATTGAAATATTTTCTCGACATCATCGCGCGCGACGTTCCCGTGATGCTAGTGCCCTCAGGTGATGCATCTTATAACGAGTATTAAAATCTCGTAGTGATTCAAGATCAAGCATATGCAGAGACTCAACACTAGCGGAGTTTCATCGATGTCCGGCATGATAATACCCTGGTCGCCAGGCAGGGCTTATGTAGCAGACATCCTCAACTTTCTGTCCCAGCGAGTGTCGATATACCTCGGTACATCTTGTCTGCACGTCACTCACTCCGTTTGGCACAAATTTTCGTTTTGATTCAGGCGTTGACGATGCCTTAACTGGGAATAATACACACCTTCTTCAAGTGTAAACGTTGCTTTGTATTCGAATGAGTTTAGTGGCTTTGCGTGGGGAATGGATAAACGCCGTGTGGTATACTCGGATGTGATAATGAACTTTACACCTTACTGAGGGCATGAGGTCCAACCGCTTCCTCTTCTGCGACCAAGTTCTGTTGAGCTTGCACATTTCATTGATGAAAACCATCTTATGATGATGAGAGACACCGTAGTGGAGGGCTCCGGAAATTTCGACCACTATGGGCTTCTTCAAGGTACACCCAAGTCTGAGCACACGGGCCTACAGCATTTTAGCCTCCATCGAAAATGCTCCCGCCGCAGCCGGAATAGGATCCCGCGACCTGCGGGTCAGCAGTCGAGTAACTTAGCCAATAGACCACAGCGGCGGTGCAGGTCCCGCATTTAAGATTGAGTGCATTTCAAGACAGTCTAATGATGACTGTGGCTGGAACATTGACGAAGGTGAAATGCTGTTGTAGAAGTTCGCCTGATTTGACAAAGCCAGCACACCCCATCGCGGACTGAAGAATGTCAAAACCCAGTATGCAGTTCCCCGAAGCTTCAGTAAAACTAACACTGAGTTCAATTAGGTAACAGCACTAATTATGCGAGCAATGTAGGTAGTAATAGTTCGATTTACCGGCCATCACAATATAGCCGTATTTCTGACGCGAGACTCCCCATCACGTAGCTTGCGATGCATGGTTCTGTAGCAAATCTGTGGCTTCTCAAAGTTGTATATTATAGGCTATGTCGAATACAGGTGGTACCGGAGCTAGAATTCAAAACATAAAGCCAGAATCTAGAACCCAGTATCCTTGTGGATAAACGACGATAGAGGTAACAGTATTAACCAAGATTGAATATTCATGTGAAGCTTCTGCAGCGAGTCATACCAAAAATGTACGAACTGTTGTCGTACTTCACTATTTCTTTTGCCCTTCCCCAACTACGAAAGAAGACAAGTCATAATTTCAATGCACGATTTCGAACGTGTACCTGCCATTCTGTGTGCGTAGCAAAGTTGAGTCGACTGTTTCTTGCTGAGCTCGTGGCTAAGATTTGCTATTCGTTGAAAAAACATGACAGCGTGTTGCGACGACAACTGTCGTGTGATGATTTTGACGAAGGTTCTATGACTGATCAGGTACCATGATTTTTCGGTGGTATTCTGCGATAAACCCGAGTTTCATATATGTCGTGTTCTCAGTGGTTGCTATAGTTCAACGCCTCGTCTGCCGTGCTCCCACGTTCTTGTTTGAAGTGCTGTTTGTTCCCCTCGTATTGCAATGTTTTGTTATAAATCGCGACGCCAGTTTTTTTATGTACGCCATTTTTAAGTAAGAAAGGTAAAGAACCATTTATGCTGAGTTATCTATCTGTACCATAGTCTACTATAGTCCAATATATATGGAATGAAATTGTGACTGTTTTCCTCTATTGAGCCGAAACCCAGATATATTATATTTCTTTACCTGGTAGACCCTCTCGGAATGGGTCCTCACTTTCCCAGAGGGTATGGCTTTGGTTTGAAATGACACTTTTATCGCAATTTAACCCACATGGGACTAGAAGACCCTGATATGGTTCCCCGGAGAAAAACTTCAAACATCAATCCAGGCACGCGTAGCCAGGAATGTTTTCTATAGGGGCGAGTCACTTATTGAAGACCTTGACTATTTTAGATAAACGCCTCTTTTTATTACTTATTTTGGGTGACACATCTCCCTCCACCCAAATTTCGGGAAGGGAGGTCTAGGGAATCACCCCCCTCCCCCCCTGTGTATACGGGCATAAAGCAATCGTTGCTTGTGCGGAGCAGGTCGACCAGCTGCCATCTACAAACGCCTGATATTTCTCTTCAATAATGTTGCCTTTATTTCATCTTATTTAGCCCAAGCAGAACACAAGCTGTTTTTTTTTTCTTAGCTCAAGCTCAATCGTAAAACAATGCGCTCATTTTCTAAGTGACACTTGTAACAACAAGAATATCCACTCACCGGCATGGCGAGGTTTTTCGCGCCCCGACCTTGAGCAATTAGGCATCGGGGATGTGAATGAAGGACCGGGAGAGGAGGAAAATGAGCTCGTGCGTGCGACAACACGAAGTGCGTGAGGCGCCCTCACGTAGGCGGCGCCGAAAGAGAGCGGAGGCGGCGCGCGGCGAGCCCGCCTCCCTTGAAAAGCGAGCGGACGCCGCACTGGTGCAACACAACGACCGCGATAGGCATGCGGGCAACACTGCAGCTCCTGGTGGCAGCGACGCACCTTCTAGTGGCGACCCGGGCCCACTACCTGAACGCATGGGCGGTGCGCATCCGAGGTGGCCGCCAAGTGGCTGACCAACTGGCGTACGAACTGGGCTACGCGAATGTCGGACCGGTGAGTGCACTGATGGCCGCCCCAGTGACGACATGTCCTGTCTCTATGTCCACTGCGGTGCGAAGATATCTCTCGGCGACGTCCTACTTACAGGGGGTGTCTTGAGGTGCAGTTCATTACATGTTATGGCCATGACGTTTTCCTAATATCTTTGTCATCTTCGCTTTTCTGGCGGCCATTTCTACAGCTCTGGCCGACCACTCCGATTAACGGCGTCAGTTATTGCGGCGACGTCAAACAGGGTGTGTTACATCATCACAGCGCCAGTCATGAACATACGTCTCATTGCTAACTCAAGGGTGACGTAATAAATGCTGAATGCGAAAGACTGGAGTGACACCGTTCGCGCCCCTTGCTTGGTTGGGCTGTTCACCTTATATGCTTTGCCACTGTCAGCCTGTCAGTGTATACGCTTACGAAATAAAAGCTTTGTAAAAGCTCATGGGGCCACGAGGCTTATTATCCGTACACGCTCCTTGCGCATTCAGTATGGCTAATTGCATATCTAGAATCCGGGTCGACTTGCAGCAATAAATATTTTGTAGACAAGGATCCCGCGGGTCAGTCGACTATATTCCTCGGTGGCAGCTGTCGTGTTTCAGTGGCCGCGGAAAATCTGATGCGTTTCTTGCATGAAAAGTTTTATGCGTTCATGAACTGGTCAACTTACGGACCTCTCCCCGTTCTCCTGCTCCCTTCCTTTTTTCGATGCGTTGATTTGAAAGGCCCGATCAAAGAACTAGAGGCGACGTGGATTATACTGCTGCTATATAAGCTGCCTCGCGCAACTGAGCTACACATCCGTCATTAATCTATCGATCGACGTTGGTATATATGAAGCGCGGCCTGAAGATGAAAGAGATGTCACAGTGCTGACTAAGCAACCAAACATTCTGGCTATATCGTCGAAAAGACACTGTGCCAAAACAATACAGAGCGTGACACTTGTCGAAACTTTTAGCGTGCTGTGAAGGACGCGGACGAAAAAGTGGAGATCGAACGATGTGCTTTCGTCCTGTCCTCACGCTTCTTCGTCCATGTTATTCACAGTACGCTGCAAGTTCCGCAATATATCACTACCAACAAGCACATACGTCCTTTTAGAACGTGACATTCTGCTTTTACGTCTTCATTCATATACTATATCTCGTTAAAACGTCTTCCAATAAGCCCGAACACGCTGAACTGTCTCTACATACTAAATTTCGATATGCCTTCGTGCACTGAGGAGAGACAATAGTATCAAAATATACGAAGTTGATGCGTGCGACTGTGCATACATAACCTAGGCCACGTGTCTTCGTTTTCAGCGACACTAAACAATTAGTGTTACTCGCTGTCTTTCGATTATGCTTTACTTTCAACGCGTTCCAATAAAATGGTTTGTAACGTATACACAGTCATCGTGTGAACTTACAGATAGAGTGAGCCTACCTTCGATGATATGGTTTAGGTTGCAAATGATCATGTTCTGTTTTTTTTTTTCTTTAAGTCCACTATACCGCTCTTGAATTATCACGTTATCCACTTACGATTTTTATTCGAAATTTTGGTCACGCATTCCTGTCATACCACGCCTAACTTCCGCGTTAATTGAAGTATGGACGTACCAGCGCGGTTCAACAGCTCTAAATTTCGCAATTGATCCCACCACACATTTTAACTGCTTAAGGCAATAAAGGAACTGCTTAAGGCAATAAACTTAAGGCAATAACTGCTTAAGGCAAAAATTTTAACTGCTTAAGGCAATAAACTGCTTAAGGCTATTAGCGCTAGACATCATAGGCATAAAAAGGTTGCGCTTAAATTGACGAAAAGGCCACGTTGAGGAGATTATCATGACGTCATAGTCAAAATCTCGCTCTCCAGCTACTCTCGGGATTCTGCGTAATCAGATTCTTTCTAGACACTTTGACAACCTACCTTACGGTAGAACAAAAGAAAAGATGGCAACGAGATGACAAAGAAAGAAAGAAAGAAAGAAAGAAAGAAAGAAAGAAAGAAAGAAGAAAGAAAGAAAGAAAGAAATGTAGGTGCCAGAGAATGTGTGAGATGTACCGAATAAAACGCAGATCACTGCGAAAGCTTCACAGCCAGCCATATTGTTGAATGAAAGACATTAAATAATAATGGCGTATAATGATGAAGTACTGATTTCTAATACGTGATCAGATGCATGCTGTTGCACCATTGGGCTAGTGAGTTTGCCAATTCCCTGTTCTTTGTTTGTCTAGGCACTTTGGAGAACACTTCCACAAACGGCAATCTCTCAGCACGCGGTCTCACTTCGCAGTAAAGGGCATCCGGTGGTGTCTCAATGACACCTGAATTTTACACAAATCACACCATACTCATTCGAAGCTCATCAACACTCGTGGTTAGTACTCACTGCCTTCTCACGCCCCATCCGTTTCTGACGATTGAACTCAAGCATTCCAATCACGTGGCTAGGCGGGTATTCAGTTTTGTGAAACCCACCGTTCGTGTACATCGACTCAGTAGCTTGTTGCCCTCTCTTGGCTCGCGACCTTTCCCATTAGTCGTATCAGTTAACCGCACGAAGCGAAAGCGAGGCTATGAAAGACGCATGTATACATAGTGAAGATCGCGGGCTTGACTGGGATTACCTTAAAATTCAATTTAGTTTAAGGATACTAGTGGAGTTGCGCCTTAATTCCACCCACACTGAAACGCAGCCACCATGGTCGATAATCTAACTGGTGACTTGCTGCTCATCCATCTACCTGCTGCTCATTCATAACGAGTCATGTCATATACTGTTTCCCTCCTTTTCTTTCTTCCAAGAGCTGGCGACATTCTACTGAAAATTCCCCTATGACATTAATTTGACGTCGCATGAGATTATATAGTATACTTCATAAAAACATACGTCTCTATACTTAAACCCATACGATTATAGAATGGAACAACTATCGTACAGGACGTACCGGCCTTCTCTAATATCGGGCTGGATACAGAAGCTGTATATAACCCCTACAAGATAAAACAACCTGTATCTTTTTTTATTCTTTCCTGCATAAGGATTCTCTTCATTTTTGAAATCGGACACTACAGCTTTGTTTGCTGTCACCGCCTGCAGTCTAACCCGCGACGTTCAATCGCGAATGCTTGTCGCTGTGAAAGTGAGTGTAGTGTTTTCACATCGTATAACGCTCGCCCTTGCGTTCCCCCTCAGATTCGCACAAACAAGAGCATGACAGCACAGTTAACTGCCGCACAAGTGAAGGACTAAGGCCGGGTGCTTCCAGTGGTGTACACAGCAAATGGTGCCGCTCTGTGCCCCTGTCTTCGAGGGATACGAGCGTTCGTTGTCCGTTTCGCGTGGTTGTATCGTAATCCCATTTAGATTGGGCGGCTCTTCGAATGTTCCACAGGCCGAGCGATTCACTGACTGATTCAGACAAAGGTCGATTCTCTGCGCGATAACGGCAAAAAGACGAGGCCCCAGAGATATCAGGCCAACCTTCTTTCCATGGGTGCTTGCAAGGCGAGCACACACAGAGCGGAAATGCCTAGCTCTCAATGTACTCTGTGTACGATCTTTTTACACTTGAACACTCTTTCTTTTTTCGCACTGGGATACTTATTTTGTACACTTGACCTTTCCTTTTTTTTTTGCAAGCTGACAAGAAAAATAGTGCTCCACACTGGCCGTCAGGAGTGCGAGAGGCGCAGGGTGACACTTCCTGGTTGACATGAGCAGATGTAGCCAATTATGCATACGGGAGGAACGACCGACGCTGTTGGTAGAGCATATATAGGGCGCGTTATCCGAATACTGCGTAGGTTCAGGTCCCTAACGGAGGCAAGCGGGCTTTTGGTTCACTTTCATTTCTTTACATCTGCATCATAGTTATACACTACGGTTAAAATACTACAATTAACGTCCCCTATACACATTTCATAGTTGTTTTGTCTGGTATAACTGTCGTTTAAGCGCACGAAGAAACACAAAGAAGAGAGGACAAGCGTCTTCTCGCAACTAAAAGGTTTATTGGAAAGAGCAGAATATATTATTTGTTTAATTTATTTGCGTACACTGATACACAAGTACACAGAGGAAATAGGGAGAGCAATCTGGCAACTGCCACCTGGAGGGGCACAACGCCTGCTCACTCTTCCGGGAGGAGGGAAAAAAAACAGAGAAAACAAGGATTAGAGGGAAGAAAGAGGAAAGAAGATGAGGACTTCGACAAGTATGAGTAAAAAACATCAATAAAAATACTAAAAACCGTCTATAAACGGATGGCCAGGTCCGTTTGGTTCATAAATGTAAGGAGAGCTTGGTGGGTCTGGTCGCGTCGGGAAGCACAACCGCTCGAAAAGAGGTAGTCGCCTAGGGTCGCACACTTAAGTCCTGGGAATTTATATTCCATAAGCAGCAAAGACCGCTGCGTAGCAAATGTGGGACAGTGCACTACGAGATGCTCGAGTGTTTCGCAGGAGCCACAAGCTGCGCACAACGGGCAGTCCACACGCCCTTGACGGTGTAATCGTTCACGCATCAGCACAGAGCCCACTCTTAGTTTGTACAACAGCGCTGGGGAGCTACGAGGCAAGCCACGGCCACGAGCACAAGGAGGAAACGATCCATTCGGCACACGCTGGTCTGCGTGCTGCTTTAGGAGGTGTCGGCGTATAAGCAGACAAGCGTTGTCCATCGTACATAGAATTTACCGGACAGTCACAGCCATCATGGTTGCATGAAGAAGCAAGGCGATCCGCTTCTTCATTGCCCGCAATACCCACGTGCGAAGGTACCCACTGTGCAGCTAAGCATACCCCACGTGACAGAATATTGTTAATGGATTCTATGATGCTGCTCAGAATAGGGCTGTCGGTCTCCTTGCTGGTGAGTCTGCTTAGGGCACCACGAGAGTCGGTGGGGATGACAACCTTCGATGCTCGTAACCCTTCTTGTACGTACTTAAGGGCGACATCAATCGCTGCTAGCTCGGCCGTCACCGATGATGAGGGGT